TATTATTATTATTATTATTATTATTATTATTATTATTATTATTATTATTATTATTATTATTATTATTATTAATTATTATTATTAATTATTATTATTATTATTATTATTATTATTATTATTATTATTATTATTATTATTATTATTATTTAATTCTGCTTTCAAATTATTAGATTTAATCAGTCCTAAACAATCATCACTTCCCTTAATAAACGGAAAATAATCAAATAATGAAAAATAACAAGCAAAGGCGAAAGGAATGGGAAAAATGATAAAGCATAAATTGTAATGCATGCACATATTTTATCAGACCATTATTACTGTTAATATTGTATTATTAATATGGTATTTTAATCAGACTATATTATTAAATGAAATTAATATCATTTTGTCATTCATCATATTATCCATCGATCTACCGATTTCTCGATTACTCGTTCGTTTAATCGCTTGATCGCCCCCATCATTCGATCTCTCCATCTTTTGATGCTTCGATCTCTCGATCCTTTAATCACTTAATCGCTCGACTATTCGGTCTCTCTATCACTTTTCCGATCATTCGATTTCGATCACTCAATCTATCGATCGCTTCATCCTTTGGTCATTCAATCTCTCGACCTTTTAATGTACCAATCTTTCGATCTCTCAATCTCAATCTTTTGATTTTTTAATCACTTGACGGCCTGATCGCTCCATATCTTCGTCCCTCGATCTTTCGATCACTTGATCTTTTGTTGTCGCGATCATTCAATTATTCGATCTCTTCAATGCTCGGTCTTTCGATTATTTGATCTATTGATTACTCAATCTTTTCATCACTTGTTCTTCCCGTCATTCGATCTCTCGATCTCTTTGGACTAGACCGATTATTTAAAACAGATAGATATCTTTAGTGAAATATTTCAGTGGAAAATTCTCACTCTCATTGCAATCTCATACATTTGTCAACAAATCTATGTCTCATTCGTGTAATTCTCTTTTTTTTTTTTTTTGACTTACTTGTCCTTTCTGAAAATTGACCCATTAATAGTACCAAAATGATATCATATCATTGATACTTTACAATTTCTTTCAGTTATGTGAATTATCAACAAATTATATTATAAATTAATAATTAATACTAAATTTTTGGGTGCTAAGCAAAAATATATTTCCATTAAAAATTTGTTCTTAACATTATTTGATAATGAAAGTACCGTAATATTCCCCTCAAATTGATTGATGCAATAGTACATTTAGCAGTAATAAGACATAAAAAAAAAAAAAAGGAAAAGGAAAAGAAAAATTATTTTCAGAAAATTGTAAGCTGAAATTATCAATTTATTTTCGAGCTCAAATTATCCAATGAAAAATGGTTGTATTGAATGAAATTCGATTATCATCGATTTTTCACGTATATCTATTGTGATTCTTCACGTAAATTCAACGTGATTCTTCACATGTTTCTATGATATATTACGATATTCTTCATCATCAGCTCTATCTATCGCATATTATTGGGTTGCATCATCATATTTTCATGATTCATTATTGTTTCTTTTTTTTTTTCATTTTTCGGATTCCTTTAATATTTGAGTAACATTGGAATACTGCAATTTTATGATAATTTAAGAGAATGAAATCTGATAAAATTTTGATAATTTTCAAATAACTCCGAGATATTTCAAATTGACAATTTTATAAATCTTTGTCTTTTTTTTTAAGAAATCATCAGTATTCATCATTTGATCATTTCAAGAATGTAACCAAAATTACATGAATGACATCTGCTATATTACAGTATTCTAAATATTTCCATCTTATTCGATGACGAATATCATTAAAATAACGATGACACATAAGATTATAATGTTTTTTTTTTTTTTTCCATTATAGTTCGTTTAAAAGTATCAAGCAAGTAAACATTGATTCTTTTTAGATTAATCCAATTTCGATCATTTAAAATAAATATTTCCCAATCTTTTCTTAATTAGAGACTATTTTGGCTTGTTTTATTTGTAGTAATGATCAAATGGTTCAAAAAATAATAAATTTTATTGACTTAAAAATAAACTTAAATCAAAACATTTAATAAAATATTAATTGAATACGGTGTAATATTATGGTAATAAAAAAAAAAAAAAAAAAAGAAGAAAAGATTATATTTACAACTGTGGAACTAGTCATCGAGAACCACAAACTAGTTCTTGTGAACCAGCAATGATCCACATATCATCGATTTGGGAATTGCTAATTTTTAAGCATCAAGCAATATTATTATTATTGAAATAATTAACAAAAAAAGCACCAATAAATTGTTAATCATATTTTAGCTTTCTGATCTTGATCTTATTTACGATTATTTAGGCATCGATTTGATACAAATTCATAGTGATATCATTAACGTTATTGCTGAAAAAGACAATCATCGAATTTTTGCCGATCGCAAGTAACCAGTATCGTCTGTTTCAATATGTGTGTTGTGTGTCTGTGTGTGTGTGTATGTATGTATGTGTTATATGTATCTGTGTATATGTTCATTTGCTTATATATGTATATGTTTGTATGTGTGTATGTATGTGTGTATGGGTATGTATATATATATATATATGTATGTATGTATTTATGTATGTACGTATGTATGTATATATGCATGTATGTATGTATGTATGTATGTATGTATGTATGTACTGTATGTATGTATGTATGTATGTATATATGCATGTATGTATGTATGTATGTATGTATGTATGTATGTGTGTATGTATGTATGTATGTGTATGTGTATGTGTGTCAATTTGATGGTGCTCTTGCCATCATCACTATCGTGAGGCAATTCCTTTGGTCTGCTTGAAGAAGTATTTACGGTTTACATTACGATTATATTCGTATGTCTTTTAATATTGTCTTCTCGATAATTTCATTACTTTTCCACTCATTTTGTATAACATTTGATGATTTCATTGAATTAAATGAAAAGTAATTACGATAAGTATCATTTCATTATCATTCAGTTCACGTCTTATCTGAATGATAAGCTGATATAGCTGATGTTGACTGCATTAGTGATAGGAATGATGATAATGTTGATAATGATATGATATGAGAATAAGGAAGAGATTTTAGAATTGAAAAATGTCGGACCTTTGCTTCCTCTCTTGTCTTTTTCACATTCTCTGCTTCCTTTTCTGTCCCGTTTTCTCTTCTTTCAACGTCACTTTCGTTTCCTCTTTTTCTATTCCAGTTGTTTATTCTTTGCCATTTCGCCCTTTCGAGACTTTGTCTTATTATCTCCTATTGAAAATGAGTAAAAATCTTCAAATATTTGCTCTTGCTGATGATAATAGTGATAATGATCATAGCAATAACTTGACAGTAATTGTGACAAAGACAATGATAACAGTAATTAATAACAAAATAATAATAATAATAATAATAATAATAATAATAATAATAATAATAATAATAATAATAATAATAATAATAATAATAATAATTAATAATAATAATAATAATAATAATAATAATAATAATAATAATAATAATAA